GTTTAGCCTTTGGTTCCTTTGACTTTCTTTCTTTCTGGTGATTTAATCTTTGTTTCTTTTATTTCTTTTTCATTTTCTTTCTTCCATATTCTGATACTTTTTCTTTCATTCTTTCTTTCTTTCCTTCTAATTCTAATTGCTTCCGATTTCTCCTTGAACCCGCTGCCGATGGCACATTATCGGATTCAAACCGCATTCAATGTGATGACACAGTCGCGGACACGCAAAGATCGAAAAGGAGAGCAATGAGAAAGGACTCCAAATTCTGCGCAATGCACCGACGACTTACGATTCACTCGTCTCCTGTCAGCAGTCAAAACTTGCGCACGCGCTCTCACGCTAACAATCACACAGGAAAACATGGCAACCCTTTTGCAAGGTCAGCCATGACATTTTCCTTGATGATCCTATTACTTAAATCTTTTTTCTTTCCCGCTCTTTTTTTCTTTAACTGCTTTTTCTATTCATATTTCGTCTCTGGATTTTAAGCAATTTATTTAATATATATATATATATATATATATATATATATATATATATATATATATATATATATATACAGAGAGTGATGGATAGATAGAGAGAGATGAGTTGAAGATCAAATGCAGATCAAATATGGATCAGAATCCGACAAGATCATAAAATAAAACCACAAATAGGAAGCGTATATTGATCTGACATGTTTTACTTTTTTAAAAAAGCTTCGTCAGAGATTGAGAGAAAACAGACAGAAAGTAATAAACTTTGAGTGTCTTTTTGTCTGTTGTCTCTCACTGTAAAATTATATATATATATATATATATATATATATATATATTTATACATATATACCACGGGTTGACCCAAGCCTTGTGATTGAAATTGGGTAGACGGAACGCTTGTGGGCCGTCGATAGCTGTTCTAGCACGTCCTTGTTCAAATTGTTGATCACGCTAGAAAACACGCTCACTCCCAGAAAGTGTAACTTAGGTCTGCTCAGCATAGTTGCAGTATAAAACACAGGTTGGCCCTGTGGGTGTTGAACAAAATGTGCCTGAGCGAGTGTCTGCAATAGGGATTGCGTAGCCGTCCTTGGGTATCGTCGAATACGTGTGGCTATATATATATATATATATATATATATATATATATATATATATAATAATAATAAATATACACTGTGTTCCTCACTGTTTAGTACCACGTTTATTCTTAATACATACATACACACACACACACATACACACATACACACCCACGCACACACACACAAACACACATATATATATAAATATATATAAAGAAGCTTTGATAAAAGTGTCATATAGGAAATAAATAATAACTCGCAACATATATATTTATGTTATATTCACTTAGTCGACTTCATTTTATATTCATGATTTGACTTTTGAGTTAAGATTAAGTCCGACAATTATTTAATATTCTGCACTTAGGAATATATATTTTCCGTCAGGTGTATAAATAAATAGCGTTGTCAGGCTACTGACTGCAGTGACTATTTAGTGACTATGGAGTGGAACTATCTAGTCGAATTAGTGTGAATTATGGTCCGTCGATGATTTGGGTTTTGATTTAGGGTTTACCGGACGTTAACCCGAGCCGCGCTACTTATAAGGTATTCACTAAAATGGTTAATTATCTTTAGTTGACTTTTACTTTGTTCTTTTTAAGTCTTTATTTGTGCTTGTAATTAAATAACGTTTTTTTTAGCATTGGATTCTTTTGAGTTATACTTAATTATTAACGGCAAGTACATCACAAAAATGTGAAACATGTTATATATATATATATATATATATATATATATATATATATATATATATATATATATATATTAAGAAATGGACAAGGTCAAACAATTTATTTATTAAAGACATATTTTATAAACGTTGTTTATTTTATGATAAAAAGTATTAAATAAAATTTACTGGCCTGAATGTCCGAGAAATTTTTAAAAAATTTTTTTTTTTTCCTGTCAAAAAACGAAAAATTTTCTAGAAAATTTTTTTTTTATTCAGGCCGGTAAATGTTATTTAATACTGTTTATCATAAACAGAGCATTTGCTTAAATACTTGTATCTATAAAATAACAACGTTAAACATAAAAATATGTCTTTAATAAATATATATATATATATATATTTATGTTGTATTCTCTTAGACGACTCCATTATATATTCATGATTTGACTTTTGAGTTAGGATTAAGTCTGGCAATTATTATTTAACATATTGTGTGTTTATACTTTATTTTTACTGATACAATTTCAACTAGTAAATGTTTTGTAGCTGAGTGATCCAGCAGGTCGGGTCAAATGACGGTTTCTGTATAAAAAATACAGGTTCGATTCTTGTCGGAGCAGGCATATTTTCTCCAAAATTTCTCAAAAGGTCAGGCCTGTAAATGTAATTAATACGCAGAATCTGTTGAAAGTATTTTTCTCAGTCTAGCCGAAAAAATCTGAATTTCCCCGCCCCGATTTCAAAGTTCTATCGTTCTGTCGGTTTTCTCTTAATCTTTGAAATTTACTGTAGATGATCTCGCTGTCAACGAACCATCTAAACGTTTTCTTCGCAGTGAATTGTTTTTCTCCTTTGATCAGAGTAGCATTTTTATGTCAAAATTATAGTCAGTCTCCTTACAGTGGGCAACCAGCGCATTTGATGTATTGTTTTGTTAAATGTCTCTTTTGTGTTCATATAATCTGGTATTTAGATTTCTTGAGGTTTCTCCTATGTATTTTTTCTGACAGTTATTACAGGCGATCGAGTAAATTCCTCCTTCAGGTTTTAACTTATTGTATTTTAGTATTGACTAAGTATTTTATTGTTTCAGATGTCGTAATAACAAATTTTATTTCGAACTAGCAGTTGAACCCGGCGATGTAACAGTAAGAGATAGATCAAGTATCGACCATTATAAAGACTGAAAAATAAAATTGACAAAGATTACTGTTTAAGGTTGACGGACACGCATGTCTTAATTAGTTTTTTTTTACGAATTGGTCAAACCCAAACTCAAACAAAAACATTGTTTTCAATCGTTATGAGTCTATCGATTGGTGAATAGAATTTTATTATAAACAATTGTCTTGTAAATGGAATTTTTAAAGCATTCTGAATGTAAAAATAAAGAAAAAAGTGTGCAAGACAATAAGAAACACTACCTGCCCCCCCATTGAAATCGGTTGAAAAAAAATGTTTCGAAATAAACGTTTCACATATATAAACACACACACACACACACACACACACACACACACACACACACACACACACACACACACCTGGGTTTTGTAATAAGTATAACTCGATATGAGTTGTCGCCCTTTCATTCCGTGAAAGCGATGAATCTTAATCGTGTTTTCAAATTGATTTCGTGCAAAAACAATTGTGTTTTTCCAATTTTTGGCGCTGTCAGAATCACTGCAAGGTAATTTTACGTAGTCCTGTGAAGTTTTGTTGAAATCGGTTGAAAAATGTAGGAAATCCGATCCAATATATAAACTTACAGACACACACACACAACCTGTGTTTTATAATAAGTATGATTTAGATAGATTCAATTTTCAATTGTAAATGTGATAGATTGGTTGGCAGGACAATATTTTTTTGATTCATTATTTTTTTTAGGATGATCCATTTTTCTATTTTGAAATATTTTATGAGCCTTTCGTTTTGCATTGAATAGAAAATAATCAGGGGACTGAAGAATGTTGAAAGGGTTTTCAATGTATTTCTCCTCTTTATGTAAATTTTGCAAATTCTGTCGGCTCTTAAGTAGAATCGTATAAATACACCGGATTTTATTTTGTTGATATAAGTTTGTAAAATAAACAAATAAATAAATAAATAAAATAAAAAAAAAAAAATAAAACTTCCCAGCATTCCTCGTTCGTGCGCATGTGTAGTCGCACCAACGAAAAAATTTAGTCCGAAGAAATCCTAAAGGACGAAAAGTGTCGCACAAATTTTTTTCCACTTTGTCATATATTTTGCCACACACACACACACACACACACACATATATATATATATATATATATATATATATATATATATATATATATATATATAAGGAAAAGACAATAGGAAAACTGTATTTTTTAGCTGACGCTTTTTGCCCAATGTAGATTTTTTCAAAAATATTTTCTTCAAACATAAAGTAATTGACGTAATTTTTCAGTTGACCATATGAGTATACAATGGCGTTTCTAAATTCTTCTAGTTGCTAACGACATTTTGTTGTTTTAGATACTTTGTTTCAATAAATTCATTTCGTTTTTTTACCTTGATAAAGTCCATATTGGACGAAACGCGTCGGCTAAAATTATAGTTTTCTTATTCTCTTTTTCCTTAATACATATTGTCTTTTTTCTACAGGTTAATTCTGAGAAATTTTTACACACACACACACATATATATATATATATATATATATACGCATACATATATATATATATATATATATATATATATATATATATATATATATATATATATATATATATATATATATGTATGTAAAAGAAGAGAGATACCGCAAACGTTTTTGGTTGTAATGTGGATTTTTAAAAAAAAATAATGCTTTATTTTCCATAATTTTACTACACGTGTTTCTGGTCTTGCGGCCGTCATCAGGTAAAGTGTGGAGATTTACAAATATGATTAAAAATAATTCATTCTTTTCTCCTTTATGTTTTTCGATGTTAAATATTCTCGATATGAGACATTCTCTTTCTATGTGTTAGTAATCCGAATTTCTTTCTTGTTTCTTGTGGGCCATATATATATATATATATATATATATATATATACATATATATATATATCGAATGTATAAGGAATCGAGTCTTGGTGCACTGACTAGCAGGTTTAATGTTATGTACGTCGAGAAAGGCATTTTTATACGACGTAATTTTCTTTTTCGTTCATTTTTTTGTTTTTATAGAAATATTATCCTTTTTGAATTCGTACAAAAAGATTTTAATTGGGACTAGA